TATATCCTATGCAGATGCTGGTATTTAGGGCTTCTAATATACCATCTATGCATCGCTTGTGTGGTTGACCTCTAGCTCAGATTCCATTATGTCTAATGACAGGGCTCTCTGTGGTGCACCGTCTAGTGTTAGTGGTAGTCTTGATACAGGTCCACACCCCTTGATCTACTGTCTCTCGATGTAGTCTAGTACTGGTTTCTTTCATGCAGCCTAATTTCTTATTCTGTCTCTTCTAGACACATTTAGGATTCATTTTAGACATTTTTTTTTCTGTTGTTTCAATTTTTTTCTTGTTCCATTTGTGGTGAGTGGTGGTTCTGTTCTTGCAACTTTTTTTTTTTTCTTATGTTATGTGCTTTTGCAGCTATGTTGATCTTCTTCTTCTTCGCGTTCAGCAGCTGTAAACTCTGGCAGAAAGTTCTGGCTATTCATCCGCTTCTGGACTGCAGTCCTGTTCCCAAACCTGAGTATTGCATGTGCATCTGTTATACAGATCTGACTCATTTGTATGCAGACTGCTGGTTCCTTGCCTCTTAGGCAGATGCACTCCGACTTTGAAGAAAGCTCCCAATTAGTTGACTCTTACGACATGCTTTTTTTGTAGGCAGTGGGTCTATTCTTGTTTTCTCTATACCAGGGCCCCGGAACCCACACGGGGAGCTATCTTGAGGTTATCTCCCATCATGACCTCAAAAACTGTTTTATGCATGCTAAGCCATCTAGTTGGTATTAGTGTAGTAAAAGTCATAATTATCTTGTTGTGTCATTCATATGTCACATAGGACTTAGAATCCATTCTTCCATTCCTTCTTATCCTGTGCGATTTTTTTAAGTAATCATGGAGGGAATTGAGTCCAACATCTTTGGCCTCTAATCAACGTTCATTTTATAATTTCTCTTAGACATTCTTTTTTTTCTTTTGCAGTTCATTTATTTCTTATTTCAATGCCTGTTTTGTAATTCTCTGTTCACTTCTTCTCAGGAGGAGAACAGTATTTTACCATTTTCTTTGTCTTATAACTGTTGACCAGCAGTTGTCCAGCCATTTATCTTAACTTTTCTTGAATTCATCAGTTAAGGTAATTCAAAACAATGTTTTCCCATCGTAAATTTAAATAATGCAGACACAATACAATGCATTATATGACTGATTTTGAATGTCTTGCAGACAGATGTACAGCAGCTTGACAATGTGGTTTATGCATTTCAGCAATAAAAAGATGTGTTTGTATTGTGTGTGCTTCATGAAGTGTTGATTTAACTTTGTAGTAATGCAGCTCATGAGATGCAGAGAAATATGCCAGGCGATAAAATGTGCAATGTATTGTCTGTGTCCACATTATTTAAAGTTAATGTTTTTTTTTGTTTTTTTCTGATGCAAACAAATGGGTGTCTTTAACTTTACAGTTGAACTGACACAAAAACCTGAAAATCTGTGATTTTGTCACTTCATATAAGTAAAATACATATCAAGGAGTAATTCTTACTGACCTGCGGAGATATCTGGGCTTATTGTCCTCATCTTTGCCCACCATAGACAAGAGAGGTGGCTTCTCCCAGTATAAGACAGCAGTATTTTGTGTGTATGATGTCACAATAACTTTAGGTGGTTCAATGGGAGCTCGGGTTCTGGCATAGAATGGCTTCGACATGACATGAGTGGTGCGTCGGTATCTCTCAATGCTACTTCCATCCCAGCTGTCCGGCTCCAAGGTTGTCTTCACACTGACCACAGCCTCGATAATGACCATGTACTGAACCCCAGGAGAAAGGTCATCAATAGTCAAAGTGTCCTCAGTGGGCAGCAGGCTGACATGACTGGCAATCTGCAGTTCTTCATGGCCAGAGATGTGGCTCTTCTTGACATCTGACCATCGGACAATCTGACCAGTAAGTTTGTTTGAGCCATAGACAAGAGGAGGTGTCCAACACAGGGTCAATGATTTTGTTGTGGCCTTGACAACCTTGATGTTACTTGGAGGATCAGTGCCAGAAGTTTTGATCAGAATGCTGGAACTGGGCAACCAAGGAGACTCTTCCTTGGAGGCTAGGGTATCCTCGGGGAAGCCGAGGTGTTGTTTGTGGTGGAGCTTCTCTGGGAGTTGGTTGAAATATTCCTCTGTTACTGCGATCACCTTGACACAGTAGTCTGTCTTCTCATGAAGGCCAGATATTTCAGCAGTTGTGCTATCAGGTAAAGTGTCAACAACAACATGGTGCTCTTTCTGGGAGTCCAGTGATATACATTCTACACGGATTCCTGAGCAAGAACATTCAGAACAACATAAATAAAGTTGAATATATAAAAAACAAATTTGTGATAAAATGATATTTGTTTGATCTTAATCATGACAAGTTAGGTAAAGTAAAAGAGCCTGGTGTGCACGACCAGGCCTGGAACTTTTGAAATTGATTTTATGTAAATCTATGTCAGTGAACTATTTTATTAATTTAATGTGTAACTAAAACTTTAACCAAGGGGATCTAGTTTCAGCAGCCACCAAACCCTTCTCCTTTAATCAAATAAGCTGGGAGTGCTAATTCTTTAGGAAAAAAGATTCTCTGGTTGTAATCCCCAGTGTGAACTGGCTGTGTAGGAGGTCTAGTCATGTAAGGATGTAACCTAATTAGCACAGCACACACAGACTGGCATATAGCTAATGGGATGAAACAAGATTATGATAAGTGCAGCACACACAGACTGGGATGTAACAAGATTAAGATAAGTGCAGCACACACAGAATGGGATGTAACTATTGGGATGTTACAAAATTATGATAAGTGCAGCACACAGAGACTGGGATGTAACTATTGGGATGTTACAAGATTATGATATGTGCAGCACACACAGACAGGGATGTAACAAGATTATGATAAGTGCAGCACACAGAGACTGGGATGTAACTATTGGGATGTAACAAGATTATGATAAGTGCAGCACACACAGACAGGGATGTAACAAGATTATGATAAGTGCAACACACAGAGACTGGGATGTAACTATTGGGATGTAACAAGATTATGATAAGTGCAGCACAAACAGACTGGGATGTAACAAGATTATGATAAGTGCAACACACAGAGACTGGGATGTAACTATTGGGATGTTACAAGATTATGATAAATGCAGCACACACAGACTGGGATGTAAGAAGATTATGATAAGTGCAACACACAGAGACTGGGATGTAACTATTGGGATGTAACAAGATTATGATAAGTGCAGCACACACAGACTTTGATGTAACTTTTGGGATGTAACAAGATCATGATAAGCACAGCACAAATAGACTGTGATGTAACTATTAGGATGTAACAAGATTATGATAAGTGCAGCACACACAGATTTGTTGGGACAAGGTCTAGGCTGAAAATGTATTTCTTTTAGGTATAACCCTGGTCATTTCGACAGCTGGTTTTCAAACTTTAAAGGTTTTGTAGTGAAATTATGTTTTTTCAGAAGTGGTGCTGATTGCAACGGCATAGTGTTTAGACGTAGTGATTATGTTTATAAATAAAAACATTTTTAAAAGATATTTTTAGTGAAAAAAATTGATTTTGTTTGTTTGGTCATTGTGACATCACAATAAACTTATGATGATGTCACTGTGCTCTCTGTGGATGTGTCAACAAAATATCTCTTTTCATTGTTTAAAATCATATTTGCACAAAACAATGACTATAAATATGAAAAATTTATCTTTTTAGTGACTTTGGGTTTGTGATGATGCAATAGCTAGCATGCTTACCTGTCTGCTCAGTTGTCATGGGTTTCAAACCCGTTGATTTTTATAAAAACTGATAGAGTTTCTTTTGCTTCTTTCTTCTCTTCCTCTGGTTTCTCAGGGCATAATTTTAAAGAATTATAATGGTGTACTGGGAGTCGCTGTGGTCTAGTGGTTAGATACTCACCTGCCAATCTGAAGGTCATGGGTCTGGGTCCTCATGGAACCAGGCTTTCTTCAAAAATGACCTTGGCTTCCAGGTCGAACCAGCCCTGAGTGGGTACCAGGTGCTGTCCTGGGAGGTAAAAGCAGCCAGCGTGATGCTGATCACATACCCACAAGTGCCAACAGGTCTATGAAATATAGGTCTAGCCCTACATGCCTGAAGGTGTGGTAAAAGGTCCTTTATTTTTATTTTACTATAATGATTCATTCCGGCGTGATGCTGACCACATCCCCCACCACGCGTTGTTTGGTTTATAAATACTGGTCATATGATACCAGCCTCATAATTTTATCTATTAATCAGCACATTGTGGGTAATGTGGTCACCATTATACTGGCCACATTTACTTCCCAATATATGACCGTACACCTATTATAGCATAGGTTGATCTGGAAGGTGAGGTTAATTTTGAAAATAATCAATCTCGAAGTGAGACAGATCAGACATCACAATGTCTCCCTTTCAGTGAAACAGCAAATTATTAATAGCATCTTCATCTCTACTTTATGTTGTCAGTGCCAAACATAAACAATGGTAGGACACTAGAACAGAAAATATTTAACTGTGAAATGTGTTGTCTCCATAAGGTCAACATAAGAATGGACAAGGTTACAAATACCAGCATTAGAAAGAAGGTTGAAATAAAACCTGTCTGAATTAAATTGACAGACAAAGAATGAAATGGTTCGGCCACCTAGTGAGAATGCAGCTGAATGAAACTGCATATGAAACTTTTGACAGCAGAACATATGGGAGAATGGCCAAGAAAGAGATGAATAAATGGTGTAGCTGAAACCTGCAAAAAGATGAACAAATCAATCACCCAAGCCACTTGAGAAGCTCAAGACAAATATAGAAAATGACTCTGGGCTGCAACCTGGTATCAGTGAGATAGCAAAAGAAGAAGAAAGAAGAAGATGACCTTTTGGCTCACAGGCCTGTATCTAGCCAACTATGCAACCATGGCTTGGTCAGTTTTTTTGTTTTAGGGCACACAGCAACTTTTGCCCATGACAAAACACTTCATACGGTGCTGCTGTATGACTTACCGATAATCTCAGACCCATGTTCTCTCGGTGGGTCCCAGCCAACCTTGAGGCTGTGACAGGTCAAGGCAATGATGCCCACATTTGCTGGAGGATCTGGTGGGCTAGCAGTCTTCACAGACAGCTGCTTCGACTTGGAAGACAAGATAAAGGCATTCAGGCCATCTGGTGTCTCAGTCATGGCTGAAGAAGAAAAGGACAAGTTTGAAGTTTCAATCTGCAGGATTAAATATTTGTTCACACATTTAATGGCTGATTCTGGCAGGATTAGTGGCTGGCCAAATGGTTAAGAAGGCTATGCTCTGGTGCAGGATTAGTGGCTGGCCAAATGGTTCAGAAGGCTGGGCTCTGGTGCAGGATTAGTGGCTGGCCAAATGATTCAGAAGGCTGGGCTCTGGTGCAGGATTAGTGGCTGGCCAAATGGTTCAGAAGGCTGGGCTCTGGTGCAGGATTAGTGGCTGGCCAAATGGTTATGAAGGCTGGGCTCTGGTGCAGGATTAGTGGCTGGCCAAATGGTTAAGAAGGCTGGGCTCTGGTGCAGGATTAGTGGCTGGCCAAATGGTTCAGAAGGCTGGGCTCTGGTGCAGGATTAGTGGCTGGCCAAATTGTTAAGAAGGCTGGGCTCTGGTGCAGGATTAGTGGCTGGCCAAATGGTTAAGAAGGCTGGGCTCTGGTGCAGGAGACCAAGGTTTTAATATTCAATAAAGTTACAGGCTTTTTTCTGTCTGCGGCAAAAATACAATCCAAACCTTCACAGTCCATGACGACTGCACTAGCCATGTGGCCCTAAATCCTTGGGCTTAAACATTTAGAGACACAAAATTTCATATGATACACAAACTGCCTGATTTCGTTGCACAGATAAAATATGTATTTAAAAAAAAAAAGAAAAACTAGATATGAAACTATTATCTAGCTTGAATGTTGAATTAAGAATCGACATCACAGCACTCAGGACACTCCCATAAGTGCTCATTTCCTATCTTCAGCAGCAACAGAAGAGTTCAAATTCCGACGGTATGCGTTACCATCAGATTTTATATCCATTTCATCCTATCCCTGAGTGTTGAACCTTGGCCAAATTCCCTGGTAACTCCTCGCAGCACCATTCTCCTTAGACCGTATTGATCTATTTGTGCCTCCGCACTATTCACTCGCTCCCAAAGGGCCCTTACAATATATAACTTGTCATACATCAATTCACCACCAAGTGGTGCAAAGCCAGCCAGTCTATCTGCCTACTCATTTCCCAACACACAGGCATGACCTGTAGAAAATATCCATAGGATGCTAACTACCCGGGACCTCTGAAGTCTTCTTCTTCTTCTTCGCGTTCACCAGCTGTACACTCTGGCGTAAAGTTCTGGTTGTTCGTCCACTTCTGGACTGGAGTCCTACTCCAGAACCTGAGTGTTGCGTGTGCATCAGTTTTACAGATCTGATTCAATTGAATGTAGACTGCTGGTTCCTTGCCTCTCAGGCAGATGCACTCCGACTTCAAAGGAAGCTCCCCAGTTAGTCGACTCTTACGACATGCTTTTGGGGAGGCAGTGGGTCTATTCTTGTTTTCCTCACAATAGGGCCCCGGAACCCACACGGGGGACCTCTGAAGTGATACTTGCCACTCTGCACGAAGCATGCCTGCTTTCACCTTTCTCAACATGCTCTGTGAGTCCGTTACAATCATGGCATGTGTGTACAGTTGATTCTCAAGCCAGCGGAAGGCAGCAGAGACTGCCTCTATGTTCATTTTAAAACTAGACGTTGTAATATCATACGCCAGGTTTTGCTGCACTAGGCGACTATTATCCAGCTTTAATTACAGTGTATACTCCAGACAGAAAGTGAAGACACCAGTAACTTATGAAGCAGACGTAACACTAGAGACAAAAAGAATTAATGTTACAGATCAACTTACTTATTTAGGTTGTAATTTTGATAGTCAAAGAAATACCCAAAATAATTATGACATACACTAGTAAGGATTCAGAAGGTTTTAGAAGCCTGAATAAAATATGGAACTCTTCACTGTAGAGTTTTAAAATCACTGGAGAAAGGAGAGAAATGTCTGGGCAACCATTGGTAACAATAGTTATAAGACAGAGAAAATGACGCTATACTGGTTACATCCAAACAGGCACTGCAAGGTAAAATAAGTAGACTGAGGTAGCAAAGAAATCTAAAAGAAACCCTAAAATGAACACTGATTAGAGAGGTCAAAGGTGCTGGACTAGGTTCCACAGGATAGAATGGAATGCAGCAACATATGTAGGAGGAAGCATCGACAGAGCAGATATCATCAATGCTGTATGGACTGGGCTAGTGGAAAATGATGAATCTCTGACACTAACACGATTGTGTGACATGGGAGAAAGCATGGTGAAGAATATCTTTGCCGCCTTCAAGGCTGAGATAGAAGACATTGTAACCAACCTCTCATGAGAACAGTTAGTAGAAGTACCTTAGAGTGGCTGCTGCATTGAAGGACTAAGCATGCATGGAAATTCCCAGTGTGCGGTGATGTCAATTGTGATAAAATAACATAGAATGGAATGGAGGCACAAACTGTGAACCCTATGTGACACGTAATGGCACAACAGTACAATGATGACAGTATATACACACAAATATAGCGATGTTTAGAAAACAAATACATAGAGTACTCATAATTAGATTCACGGTGAGTAAAACCTACATGTGCCTTCGTCATAGTCCTTGTATTTCTCAATTTTCCGTGCCTCAACAATGACAGTGTATGTTGTTGAAGGTCGTAACCCAGTTATCAACAGGTGGTCACCTGAATGAGAAGAAAATGTTGTACAAAGGAATTAAGACCTTATCTGTTTATCTTTTTGGAGCCAGTGTATTTAATTTTGTCACTTTATTAAACATTAAAACTGCTAGGCAACATATTGAAAAAAATAAAGACAGTTGAGAAACGTACATTTAAGCATTTAAGATTTCTAATATTTCTCTTCTCCAGTGACATAAAGGAAGAAGAGGATGAAAAGAGAACAGCAGAGGCAAGCAGAGACTGGTAAAAAATTATTATCAGAATAATATTATTCTTCCCCATATATATATTCTACCTGTAGTGCTGTCACTCTGTATGTTGTCTTGTGGTCTGTCACCTGGCCACCATGTGACTTGGTAACTATCTGGCAGCACAAAATGAGCTTTGGAATCACTTGCTGTAACAAGAAAAATTATCTATGTATATACACATACCAAAAGTATGATCCAAATGGAAAAGTAAAACAGTATGGAAAAACATCCAATGATGACACGACTAACTTGATGATCTGGCATTCACCATGACCATCATCATATCTTTATTACCTTGTAGGGTTCCCAGTCTGTTCTTTGATTCTAGTCAATCCTGTGTAATCCTTTCAATATCATGGATGGAATCCAGTCCAGCAACGTCTCTCTCATCAATGTTCATTTTAGGGTTTCTTTCTTAGACATCCTCATTTTTTCCCTATATCTGTAGCCCATTTCAGGTGATTCTTTGCTTGCATTCATCTCCCTGGTGTAAACAGTTTTTACTTCTCTGTCATCTGACATTCTCCAATATGTTCCAAAAATTTCAGTCTATTAGCTGTGGTGATTTAAACAGATTAGGAATTTCTTTGTTGCTTCTCACTCTCCTTTCACCGCTGTTTGCATCTTTGATGGGTCCAAAGATTTGTTATAAGACTCTGTTTTCGAAAACCTGTAATAAGGTTTCATCTCTTTTTGTTGTGCTCCAAGTTTCAGAGCCATATAACATGACTGGTCTTATCAACGTTTTATATATTTTGGTCTTGGTGTTGCAAGACAGACACTTTGAATTTAGCAGATGTTGAATGGTATAGAATTCTTTATTTCCAGATTGTATTCTAGATTGTATTTCTTCTCTCTGCATGTTGGAGCAGTTGAAGTTTGCACCCAAGTACTTATATGTTTCTGTTGGTTTGATTTTCATATTACCGACTTGAATGTGGCCAGAGTTTTTATCCTTTTCCTGTCTAGTTATTATCATGTATTCTGTCTTTTCTTGATTGATAATTAGTCCCATTTTCTGAGCTGATTCTTTTAAGACATTCAGTGTTTTAACAGTCTCTGGTTCATTTTCTCCAACGATATCAATGTCATCAGCATATCCTAAGTATTCTTGTAGTTTCTCCTATACTACACTCTTTTTTCAATTTCCTTATAAAATTCTCCAGGTTGAAAAGAAGTGGGGACAGAGCATCACCTTGCCTTAAACCAGATGTTATTTGAAAAGGGTCTGACTTTCTGCCTTTATATACTACTATATTACGAGTGTCTTCCATAAATAGTTTGGTCATGCTAATTAACTTTTTTTGGTATTTCAAAGTCCTTCATAGCATTCCATAAAGTGTTTTTATGCACACTATTTTTCTCCCAAAAAAGGACTCCAGAAATAGATGGGAACTAACCATATTTGTTTCCATTCACTGTAATATAGGCGGAAATGTAGAAGGTGATTGGTTGTTGTCTAACTTACACAAAGATCTGACGAGCTTATGTTAAATTTGTGTTACAGACATTGTGATAATGTGATAAATAACTGCAATAAGGGACACATACAGAGTAAAGAAATACACTGATCCCTATGTGACATAAAAGCACAACAGCGTTATGGTGACAATGGCAGTAATGATGTTACTGCTGATGACGATGCTAACAAAGCGATGGATAGATGGAATATCCGAGGCCGTAACTACCAACATCTACATAGCACATACCAAGGCTCACACCCGATGCCTCTTCAAAACCTGATGCTAAAAGGCTAAACAGGACTAGAAAAGAAGCAGAAGATGCTGATGAATAAAGACATTTTTTACTGTCTAGTTTGTCACCAGGAGCTGACTTGGTGTAGCAGCTAGACTCTCGCCTGCAGATCCATAGGTCGTGGGTTCAGGTCCTGACAGATCCAAACTTTTTTCAAAAATGATCTTGTCTCCCAGGTTGACCCAGCCTTAAATGGGTACAAGGTAAAGTCCTGGGATGTAAAGGCTGCTGGTGTGATACTGACCCCCTCACCCTTACAGTGCGTATTCATCTATAAAATAAGCTAAAGGCGCAGAGAACAATCCTTTACTTTTACTTCACTAGCATGTTACCCTATAATGAGAAACATGTAGTTCCACTTGTTTTTACACAAAATGCCTCAGCATGTTTTGTTATATAACATTACTGTTTTTCAAAATGCTTGACTCTTTTAATTCAGTTGCTACCATCCTACTTACATTTCTCCCACACAATCAGAGCTGAGTGGCCAGTGACCTTCTCACACCAGACTTCTGAAGGAGCGCAGACCAAACCAGTGTAGTGGACAATCAACTTTGGTCCGGGCTTACATCCTGTGTATCGGTCACCAGCAAACACATCTATGAACACACACAAAGTCATAATAAACAACTGCACTATCATAGTAACGAAACAATTCTAAAACATATAGATTAAGACTTGAGCTATCATATTTGACACGCGCACTGAAGAATTTGGTTATTAATTTTACATACCAGTTCAGATTTTAAAAATGTCAAAGATCTTTAAGTTCAGGCGCAATATTAATTATAAAAATAACTTGGTTTAATGAAAATTAATTCCCTCTGTATGTGTACAATAAAAAATATTTTTACTTTAAACTGGTATTATAAAACAAAATATCTAAATTTGTGCACACACATTCACAATGCTACACTATAAGAGTACACAATGACAATCAATCTGAGTGCTACACAATATAAGTACAATCCAATCTTTGCTATTAATGCTATTCAGTAAGTGACATTAATGCTATTCAGTAAGTGACATTAATGCTATTCAGTAAGTGACATTAATGCTATTCAGTAAGTGACATTAATGCTATTCAGTAAGTGACATTAATGCTATTCAGTAAGTGACATTAATGCTATTCAGTAAGTGACATTAATGCTATTCAGTAAGTGACATTAATGCTATTCAGTAAGTGACATTAATGCTATTCAGTAAGTGACATTAATGCTATTCAGTAAGTGACAATCAGAGGGCTACTCAATCATAATACACGCTGACACTCCAAAAAATACAGCACATGAATAACAAAAATAAATATATGACCATGTAGGTCATATGAGAAAATTAAAAAACATAGAATGACTGTTGTACCCAAGTGGTGGCTCATCTTTTAGTGAGTGACAGAGAGAATTTGATTAAACTTATGACTTCAGAAATTACATTTGTACAAATGCTATTTTTAACCATGTAGCCTCTTAAGTGACGAGATGTAGCTTGACACTGCTTTTTTCTTTTTTTCTGCAATACAACTGTGTGCAATCATTGCTTTGCCTGTTTTACAGCTGTGTTTCTGTTTTCGACTGCACTGGGGTAAATGGGAGGCCTTTTTTTAATTTTAAATTTGATAGATTTTTTGGGTGATAAAATTAAAAAAAAATTAATTGTGACATAATAAAGATGTCACTCTGAGTTATTTTTGTTGTTTTTCTGCAATGGTTTGTGGAATAACATTTCTTTCAGGCCAAAGGTAATGAAAGCAGTTAATGCTCTGCTCAGTTTATTTTTACTGATTATTTGCTATGCCAACAGAACAGACATTTAAAACAAACTATTTGTGTGTGTGACTAGGGCACGGAAAGGAAGATAGGGGTTAAATTGATATCCCAGTAGCTAGCATGCATGCCTGTGTGCTTGGCGGTCATAAGTTTAACCCCTGTACTTTTGCAAAAACTGACCAAAACTCCAAATTTCTCCTACTTGTTCTCCTTTTCCTAAAGTTTTTTTTTTTTTTTCAAATGATTTATGTGAAAAATCAATTGTTTTACGTTACGGGTGAAAGGGTAAAGTACTATTTAGCTACCTAGGTTTTGTTTACGATGAACATACAGTAAATTTCTATGAGGCAAGAAAGCAAATATCAAAGAATCCCACAAGATTCACTACCATATTTTTCTTTCCCAAATCCTCCTGTGTTAAGGCTGTCCTGAAAGTGTTCTGTATTGCATACCATCCCTTTACTTTTGTCATGCATTCTGTCTTCCCTTTACTTTTGTCATGCATTCTGTCTTCCCTTTACTTTTGTCATGCATTCTGTCTTCCCTTTACTTTTGTCATGCATTCTGTCTTCCCTTTACTTTTGTCATGCATTTCTGTCTTCCCTTTACTTTTGTCATGCATTCTGTCTTCCCTTTACTTTTGTCATGCATTCTGTCTTCCCTTTACTTTTGTCATGCATTCTGTCTTCCCTTTACTTTTGTCATGCATTCTGTCTTCCCTTTACTTTTGTCATGCATTCTGTCTTCCCTTTACTTTTGTCATGCATTCTGTCTTCCCTTTACTTTTGTCATGCATTCTGTCTTCCCTTTACTTTTGTCATGCATTCTGTCTTCCCTTTACTTTTGTCATGCATTCTGTCTTCCCTTTACTTTTGTCATGCATTCTGTCTTCCCTTTACTTTTGTCATGCATTCTGTCTTCCCTTTACTTTTGTCATGCATTCTGTCTTCCCTTTACTTTTGTCATGCATTCTGTCTTCCCTTTACTTTTGTCATGAATTCTGTCTTCCCTTTACTTTTGTCATGCATTCTGTCTTTCCTTTACTTTTGTCATGCATTCTGTCTTCCCTTTACTTTTGTCATGCATTCTGTCTTCCCTTTACTTTTGTCATGCATTCTGTCTTCCCTTTACTTTTGTCATGCATTCTGTCTTCCCTTTACTTTTGTCATGCATTCTGTCTTCCCTTTACTTTTGTCATGCATTCTGTCTTCCCTTTACTTTTGTCATGCATTCTGTCTTCCCTTTACTTTTGTCATGCATTCTGTCTTCCCTTTACTTTTGTCATGCATTCTGTCTTCCCTTTACTTTTGTCATGCATTCTGTCTTCCCTTTACTTTTGTCATGCATTCTGTCTTGCCTTTACTTTTGTCATGCATTCTGTCTTCCCTTTACTTTTGTCATGCATTCTGTCTTCCCTTTACTTTTGTCATGCATTCTGTCTTCCTTTACTTTTGTCATGCATTCTGTCTTCCCTTTACTTTTGTCATGCATTCTGTCTTCCCTTTACTTTTGTCATGCATTCTGTCTTCCCTTTACTTTTGTCATGCATTCTGTCTTCCCTTTACTTTTGTCATGCATTCTGTCTTCCCTTTACTTTTGTCATGCATTCTGTCTTCCCTTTACTT